ATTGGTTGGCTGGTTTGACTGATCTTACCAAGTATTTACCTCCTTGAGGTAATTAGGTAGTGTGATCAAATATTAGGCCCAGTTTTTCCTCAGAGCACTGCTTCAGTTACACTACTAGTAGTAGCCTTCCTCAAACCTCTTCTCAGTGTTTGGTTACTGAGTCCCACTGTATGGTCCGGTTCCTTATTTCATTCATTTAAATATGTCAGCAATTACAAGAACACATGAATGTATTGAACATATGATCATATTACTTCCTGCTCTTCACATCTAGAATCGTTTAGAATAGCATACTGTATTTCAATGCCAAAAACTATCTTGAAAAGTTGAAAAGAACATCTGCTCTAGGCTACCCGCAGAGGTCATGCCAGCACTCAATAAAAATTAGGAGCTGTGTTGTCTTGCAAAATGTTTTTGAGAAGTAGGTTGTGTAAGTCCAAAATCTGGCCTCCAAATCTGAGCTCTTCCTCGTACATGCAGAGACTTTACCCAGTGTGCTGAACTAGGTCAGGTATGGACATAACCTTGACTGGTGCCTTGGGTCATTTGATCCATGAAAGGAGGTCTCTATAAATAACGAGTTGTTGCCACATAACCTCTGTGGTACTTCTGAATTATATTAGTATCACTTCCTTAAACATGCAGAGTATTTAAATGGAGCATAACTAAGCTCTGTTAGACTCATATCATTCCCATGCGCAGGGATTGTAATGTCTGTAGCTAAATGGATGGTAATCCCTCTGTGCAAGGGTTGTAGGGGAAACATCAATTGGAGAGTGGAGACTTTTTCACACTGCCTTGTTTTAGAAGATATGCCAGGAGTGAAGAGGGGCAGTAAGAAAGTTTCTATTTTATATCATGTAAAGCAGTGAGGCTCTCTGGTGCAGTGGTTCATGGAAATATCCCGAGCAGAATGTGGATATGTAATGTGAGCCTTTGGCTCCACAAAGCCTCCTCCACCTGGTGGAGAAAATAAAAGAGGTGCAGTAGTGGTTATACTGTCATGAAATAATTACCAGTGGCGTGGTCAACAAAAACAATTTTTTGTTGAACGGTGTTGAGTAGAACTAGACTAAGACCATGAACCTTTTTTTGGAATAAGTCACCCATGGTGACTTCTGACACCTCCCTACTAATCTCATCTCTCATTTCCAACTTGGTGACGGGATGCAGAGTTCTGGTTTTGTGGATATTTGCTGCAAAGAGCACAAGGTTGGTAACCTCGGCCGGCTTTGCTTTTCTGTCTTCTGCTGTCCGCGATAGCTGCTGTCACTGACCCCTCCTCAACTGCCAACCAGCCTTTCCTCGAAGCTGAGGGACTTCTTCAGAAATGAGTGATAAATATAGATGTGAACACATGCACCTGAGCATAGTGTGGAAAAACAGGAACTGTTATGCCCATATTGCTTTCTTAAAAGGTGCTTAGGCAAATTTAAATGTAAAAGCTATTTATATTTGGAGCTATTTCTTTACTGCTACGTAGCTGATAATACTGACTTGGAAAAATGGACCTATTATTGACTGATCCAAAGTTACAGATTGAATCTGTTGATTATACTAAAAAAAAAAAAGTGGTTTCACTGCATTCTAGTAAGTGTTTTGAAATCATGATGTTGCAAATAAGTTTCTGTGAAAAGATTACATAAATGGGGCCAATTCTGTGAAATGCAGATTCAATCGTGCACTTTACTGAAAAGCTCAGGGATTTGAATATTGAGGGAATTGGTAGTGCCTCAGATCATAATCTTTCAGACTTGCCTTTCCAAGAATTAGAGACACTGAATATCACCCACTGTGTTAAATCCTTTATTTTATTATTATTGTTATTATGCTATTTTGCCATAAATCACAGTCCTTTATTTTATTATTATTATGCTATTTTGCCATAAATCACACTTTGTTTGGAAAACAATTTCAGTTTCACAGTAAAAATTCCCAAATGTTTATTGTAAAGCGTTGTTCTTTTTGAAAGAAAAAGATGTATAGGAGCAATTTCCTAACCTACTTACAGCGAAATTAAAAGATAAACATCTGAGCTCAGGCTTAGATTACATCAGTGTTATGTTTCATAACAGACGTCACCAGCTAGAACTCAGTTTGACAGTATTTTAAGCATGACAGTTAACGGCCTGGTTGCAACTTGCATAATTTTTTTTTTTTGCTTTGCTTTAGATTTGAAAAGTACTCAGCCAAACAAATCTAAATTTGGTGTGGAACAACATAAACTTACAGTGATACAGGGAGTTTTCCTTCACTTCTGGCACTGGAGAAGCAAACTAAAATTCCACCAGCCCTCAAGTAAATCTTTTGAAATAAAATGCCAAGACTTGCATTGTTTGAGAGTAATTTTTCATAGAATATTTTACTGAAGTTAACAGGAGGGTGCGTTTGTGTAAAATGAAATATTACATAGTTAACTCATCTTTATTATTTTACTTGCTACCCAATTTATTGCATAACTCTTAAGTTATTATAAAAACAGCTTTAAAAGACTGCATTGCTATATAATGATTTAGTAATATCTGCTAAACTCGTGCTGTAGTGCTTGTGTAGCAGGGTGAGGGCCAGGCCTTTCCAGGGAGCCAGAATAACGATTACAATTTTACGCGATGTAGGAGTTCAGGCCTTTCCAGGGAGCCAGAATAACGATTACAATTTTAAGCGATGTAGGCGTTTGGAAATGACCAGCATCAGAAGGGAAGCACTTGCATGAATTATAGATTGGTATTTGCAGCATTAACCCCATGGAATGAAGTCAGGAGACCGGACTGCAGTTTGTTAGCATTGATTGATGAGTAGGAATTCACTTGGCTCTGCTATAGGAATCATGGGGGAATGCCCGTTTATAGCTCCAAATCAAAAACCACAGCTGATGGTGGGGCTAAGGTGGTGTTTGGCAGAGGTATTTTAAATTAGTGCTTCTTCCAAGTACATTTCATTACGACGGTTTTTTAGAGCCTTTGCTGCAGTTATGTGCCCTCCCTTAAAAGTGAGCCATCTGTTGACATAGTCTTGGCTTCAGATTTAAGTGTGGGTTAAGTGAAGTATTTAACTCCCTTGGAAGCACAAGGGAGATGGGAACTTGGCCACATGATAATGTGTTCTATTTCAGTACAACTGCTGTCATATATATTGTGTTTAATGGCTATTAACTAATACCAAGCTCTGCGTCGGTTACAAAATTTTGGGGACATTAATTCTATCATAATTCTGGTTTAGACTTTAAGTCATTTATCTGAGTATCTATCTCTTTGCATTAGCATACGTGACTGGAATTGTAAAAATCTTGCTTCAAGGAGCAATTGCCTTGGTTTTCCTCTTTCTAGAGTAGGCCAAAGGATAACATAAATAACTATGTTGAAGCAAAAATGTATTGACAAATGTGTAGCAGTGCAGTCTCAGTGATGCAGCAGAGAGGCTTGGGGTAAAATACTTCGAGATCCTTGAATGGTGCCTGGTAAATGCTGAATCAGTTAACTGGTATTGAGGTCACAAGTGTAACAAAAATGATGTGTGAAAATTCATCCCCCATATCCTTTAGCAGCTGGTGGAGCTTTTGTAGCACTTCCAGGAATGCTGCCTTCCTGAAATGCTACACAGCAGCTGAATCATATTAGCTGCTGTTAGATAACCAGGGTAGATCTGGATCTCTTAGCAGTGCTGAATCTTTCTGTTTTCCAAAAACACTTTAATAACTTGAATTGGGTGAAATGATTTAGCCATGAGAGAGCGCTCAGGAGAAAGATTCCTTGTTCACATACACTCAGCTCTCGGTGCCCCACAGCAGTGATGGTTACCTGACAGAGGCACAGGACCACCACAGAAGACCCAGGGGATAAGTGGATGTTGGCACCAGGATTTGATCAACACTGCCTAGTAGGGGCATGTAACTGTTGAGTGATTTCCCTTTCTGTCAAAGATCTGCAGTTCGCTAGAAGACCAGGGACTACAAAAACCTGTCAGTGTCAGTCAGATCTAATTCCAGCAAAAACACAGCTAGGATTAAAACCATCCTTGTGGTTGTGGCATTTTTTTCTGGTGGGAAGATACTTGGATCCTTCACCCAAACCAGCTAAAAACTTAATGCTAATCTCTATGTCCCTAGTCTGCCAAGTTTCAGAGAACAGAAATCTAAATTATGTCTTGATAATACATATTGCTTTGATACTAAAATAAAAACTGCTTGTATCTTGTCAAAGCACTGTATCTTGTCAAAGGCATATAGCTAGAATAGCATGACCTTGTTCAATATTAAAAAAGCTGCCCCAGGAGCGTGTGGTGTAGAAGGGTTGCCAGCAGTGAACAAGCAGCCCATTTTCTCACACCCATTTTGCTAGATGTTACTTGCCATTTCATCAGCGTCAAAAATATCTGAGAGACGCGATTTGAACAAAATGTCCCTATTGAAAAAAAATAAAAAATAAAAAAAGCAGCATGTAAAACATAGGAAGAACCACTCAGAAGTCGGTCTGCTCGCGGTGCCCGCGCTGCTGGACGAGGCCTTCGCCCTGTACGTCGCGGACCCCTTCGATCGCCTCCGCAACCCACAGGTGCTGCAGGGCCCGGGGGGCCCACGACGGGCACCCTCGCACCCAAAACTCCCCATCAGCACCCAGGGGTTCCTGTGGGCGCTGCTGGCCGGGGGAGATGCTTCAAGTGCATCCGAGAGAGCCACGTGGGTGCTTTTCTAGCCGTGTAATGCTGCTGTTTGTAATTTCTTTCAGGGCATTCTGAATTTGGGAACAAGCGAGAACAAACTTTGCTTTGATTTAATAGAGGAGAGAGTAAGTGTTGCCGTCTTCTGGCTGATGTGGATTTAGCTGCCAGTTGGTTCTTGATGATTTTGTGGTGCCTGGTTAGCAAAAAAATTATCACGGAGAGGGTAGCAGCCGCTGTGGCACAAGAGAGTGCTGGGATGAGTGGCTCTCACAAATAAGCATCCTTTGCATGGGCTGCTCAAGTTTCAGGTTTGAAAATGCTTTGCAAAATAATACTTACTCTGAAAGCTTGCCTCTGGTTGAAGGCCAAAATCATTTTGTTTTTGCTTAAACCTCACTCAGGTTTGATTGAACATGTTCTCTAACCTTGAAGCAGAATTCCTGTAAGATTCTGCTCCTGTTCTACCAAAAAAAGGGTTGTTTGGGTATGGAAATTTTCAAGGAGTGTATTTCTGAGGGTAGAATTGTGCCCTAGTAGGTGACTTGCATTTCTGCAAAGCCAAAAGTCAAGGTTACTGTCATTTTTTTTTCCTGCTCTTTGAGATGCAAATCAAAATTGATGCTTGAACTAAAAATCAATGTTGTAAATATTGACAGATTTGATTGTTGTTGTCTTTTTGACATATCTCAAAAGTAATGCATAATCTCTTAGCTGGTATGCTTTTCTTCAATGTGATGTTTAGGGTTTGTTTTAATTCACGACGGAACAGTTGAAAATAGTTCTTTCATGACTTTCTTCCCTTGCTTTGATGATGTTTTAATGTTGTTGCTGTCTAATAGAACAAAACAAGAGAAGTGCAAAATACGAGCATAATTGCAACTCAGGAATTTTGATATTCTCCACTTGTTTAATGTTACTGAATACTGATTTTTTTAAATAAATATGGTAGAACAGAAGAGAAACATGCAAGAAAATAGTGTTCTGCCATGTGTCTCTCTGATGTAACTAGCTCGGAAGACCTGACATGAATTATCTGGAGCCTGAGCTGTTCCGCTATTCTGACACGCAAGGTACTAAGAGGTAAGCAGCCAGTTTTCCCTTTTCCACCCTGGTTGTGTTCAGTGCTAGTGGGTCCAGCCGGCTGAGCTTTCACTACTGCTGAGCCCACGACACGCAAGGTACTAAAAGGTAAGCAGCCAGTTTTCCCTTTTTCCACCCTGGTTGTGTTCGGTGCTAGTGGGGCTCGTGTCCAGCTGGCTGAGCTTTCACTACTGCTGAGCCCAAGGGCTAGGTGAGTTCCTGCTCGTGGCTTGGTGACACCTTTTCTGATTCCTACTCAGGATTTGCTTTTCTGGATTTTTTGGTTTTGCCTTTTATTTTTCCTACCTTTCTTTACTGCAAAAGAAAAAAAAATTAAAATCCAGAGCTCATTACAGCTTCTTGGAATTGTTTATTCTAGACGTAGTGAGGGATAAACTGAAACTGTGTCTGCTGCAAAGAGTGCAGGTAAAACACTGGCTCCACGAAATTCAGCAGG